GTGCCCACCGTCGCGGCGCTTGAGTCCATTGTAGATAGAGGTTATTGCGCTTCGTGCTCAAAACCAGTTGCTGGTTCAATGTCTGGGTGGCCGAGGGCCCGTACGATCCGCTCCGGCGCTAACACTCCGCGTTCACTTGCGCCGAATCCCGGTACGGCTTGAGCAAGCCCACGAAAAACACCGGGTGGGTGCTCATCCGTTTGGGGAGGTTTAGTGTATACGCTAGGCTCCGTTTGGCCACAACCTTAAACGGTACAATAAACTGTGGACGAAGCTTTGTCCTAAAGATAGAAGAGGCTGCAGGTGTAGGCAGGATTTTAGAATTTAGTAAAACCCGGTCCCGACCTTAAAGCTTTCCACTTCGCCTTTTCTTTTTTCATCTGCGTATTCTGTTTGCAGGTCTTGGCTTTCAGCCATTGCATCGCGAACGTGTAGTAGGACACTCAGTCTGGTAGACAAGAAGTCGTCGACTTCTTTACGAATGGTGAGGGGGCTGACATCAGCTTGACGTTCGGCTATTCCTCCCCTACCTAGCCCTGAGACATGGGATGGCGGCGTCAGCGGGACGTGAGGGTGAATTAGATCGTTCACGTAGAACGGCGTGTTGCCGGTAGACGAATGCACTGCATTGTTCAGCGTAAACTCTACGAGTGGCAACATGGCGCTCCAGCGCCTCGGCGTCTTAATGCAGGCGCTGCGAAGAACGTCTTCGATGATGCGATTCACCCTTTCGGTTTAAATATCGGTCTGCGGATGACCCGCTGTCGTCATATCCAACTGGGCCTAACACCTTGAAGATAGTCGACCAAAATTTTCCCGTGAAATGGGGGTCTCAATCAGAGACAATCAACTCTGAGAGCCCGTGTTGACAGAAAACATGATCCACGAACAGCGTTGCAGTATCGACTCTGTCGATGGTGTCTGGCACCGCCGTGAAATGAGCCATCTTGCTCAACCGGTCGCCGAATACTGCGACACCCGTGTTACCCGCCGAATCTTTCGGCAGGCCAAACACAAAGTCTAAACTCATGGACTGCCAGCACCCAGTGGGTACCGGTAAGCTGGCCAGCGGCACAGCCGCATTTGGAGAGGGTTTTACCCGTTGACATGTCTCACACGTGCGCACGTAGTGCTCATTCATGTGTACAACTTGGGTCACCAATAGTGGTGACTCATAGAGTTGTACGTTTTCTCACGACCGAGATGACTGCGGAGTGGCGTGTCGTGAGCCTCATAGAGGGTGCGATATTTCAAATCCTCATCATGAGAAGCCACAATTCGTGGTGTATTCGTTGAATCGGTGCGATAATATAGCAAACCATTATTCAACGGGTATCGGTTCAATCGTGCACGCACCCTTGGTGACAATTTCTTCTCCAAGTCTCCAAACTCCTTGCTCCCGAGAGCCCGTAGCAACACTACACATCTCATCACCCGCATACGCGGTGCGGATCAACTCTGTCACAGACGACGTTCCAGCTGTAACATGAGCAAGCTCATAGTT